AAACGTATATTTATAATGTTTATGTGTGTGTTAGTACCCATAAATAGAAACCTCGTTATATTAGAAACAAAATATCGTCCCATTATTTTGTACACCAACTCAAGTTGTCATTTATTTTGTCTTAAAATCGTAGCATTTTTTAAAGTTGCAAACTTAATAAGTTAATATATATACACCAATAAATCCGATATAAATACGACTAGTAACGTTTAGCTAAGTACATGTTAGAGCGCCCTCATTGTCGCTTATTGTGTGTTGAAACAACCTGCAAAGTGTGAAAAAGTTGTGATGTTTGAGATCTGTCAACGGATATCGTCAGCCGACAGGGAGTTTAAACAATAATTCATGTTGTGACTTGGAAGGAAAGTATTTCCATCGAGACCATCAAAGGAGATGATGATATTTACTGCAACGCGCGAAGGGATCAGTAGCATGGATCAAAATAATGTGATATTTGTTTTTAATTACGCTCTAAACTATGTTTTCTATTCACCGCCAACCTCACCTCACCCCCAAAGTGTTTCGTACATATTAAATTAAACTAAACTCTACAAATACCTTGTTTCAAAATGTGCGTGGGTGCTAGGATATTTAGAGTTCTGATTTAAGTTAGTATGTACGACTGCAAATTGTGAACTTGTTAAGAGCGGGTTGCGACTCGAGGTCACGTGATTTTTACTCCTAGCTAGTGAAGTGCTACTAATACCGTCAGATACCTATTTTCTTTTCAGACAGCCAAAATAAGAGAAAAACATATACCTCGTCTCAGACTATGTTTCTTTTTGCCATGGATTATGCATTATGTGTTTTCCTGTCAAAATAAAAATTTAATGTACAGATTTGTCAATATAAAAACAATCATAGACTGGACCGTAATGTAATATATATAAAACCAGTCCTTGTAAATGTTATTTCACATTGGAAATGTTAACTTTTAATTTTATTTGTATATATTGTGAAGTGTCACTGATTTATTTGTTAAATTTGGGAGTATTTTAATTTACTTTATAGTCAGTGGTATTAGTCTTTGGCTAAATTTGTAAAACTCCGAAATAATATAAGAATTGAATTGAATTGAATTGAATTGATAGGCTGAACACAGCTTTTTAGCATATTTATGCAGATTCTATTAATAATCTTAATAATAAAGGCTGAAATTGGAGACCCTTTTCAAAAGGGGGAGTCATTGTTAAAAATGGTCAAATTTGGCGTCACGTGTCTATAGAGTTATGTAAAAGCTATGTAGTTCAAACAGTAGGACTATTCATAGTGGTGTCTTGACAGCGCAATATTCCTTTCAAATGATCTACCCACGCACATAATAAGGCATTTACCAGTGAAGTTATCGTGATAACAATGCGCAATGGCTGCACAAACATCAATTGCAGGCCACGCCATGAATGGCGTCAGTGTTTTAATGATACATGTCGATCACGAACTCCGGTTGCGAAAGGTGTTGCCATTGAATTTAATATAAAAACGTTTATAGAGTGTTCGTCCTTTCACGAAATCCAAAGTTTCTCAGTGTATTTTTCAGTTGCAGTCTTGATACAAGCCTTTTCACTTTCATTCGCCGTGTTATTTTGATCCACTCTTTGGCAATCCAGTGTATGGCTTCTGTTATTCCCCGGTAACTTTCCCCGGCAGACACCTCGAAATACTGACAGTTCATATGATTGGCTGCGACGCACCCTTCGGCTGGCGTCACTTCCCGGAAGTGACTTAACTCGCACTTATTGGCTAGCAATGCACACGGAGTCTTATCCCAGTCTCTTGTACTTTTTATTTCTTTTCTTAGTTTTTGCACGTATTCGATGCTTAGTTTGTCAGTTACTGAGAAGACAAATATAATTGCATCAGCCCACTTTACTTGTTCTTCTCGAACTGAGTTGCTTGGATCCTGATGAAGAAAAAAAAACGTGGAACCGTAAAATTAAAAAGAAAAATTGTTCGATTGTGCATCATACAAACTGGGTATGATTTATCGTGAATGACAATTTGTGTTATATTAGCACGCAATATAGTGTTTAATGAGATATTTTTAGGCAAATGCGCATGAGCTTGAATTTGGAGTACTAGTACGTACCAGTAATTCAACACGCATGCACGTGAATTAACCGTACGTGATAGTAATTAAATACCCACGCGCTCTTGAGTAAATAGTGCGTACCAGTAATTCAACACATATGCGCTTGAAATAATATCACGTACAAGAAATTCACCACGCATGCGCTTGAATTAACAGTACGTACCAGTAATTAAAAACAAATGTTTAGTTTTGTGGGTGACGACAGTAACGGTTTTAGTTTGTAATAATTTCATTATATAACAAAATGCACAGTAATCAACGCAATCAGTCAAATAGTCCTTTTTAAAGTGAAGTTCCAATAACAAAAGTAGACCACGATATATTAGCGGAACATGTAAACTTCAACATATTTCAGATAGGGAAATGTCTTCACTGCTGTCCACGCGAATATTGGAAGCCACGTTTTCACATAGATACTTAGGCCTTAACAGTTATTTATAAGTTTAATAAAAGGCGATAAAAGCTAAACTCATGACATATTTATTCTTATGAATATACCTATCAATTTTTTTCAACCCAACAATTTTCATTTAAAATCATTCTAATTCATATTCAAATGCATACATTAGCATAAATTAAAACATGCGCCGGCGCATATAAAGTAACTGCTGTTTGAGTATACAGATATATAAGTTTATAGGTAACTTATAAAGTACATAATTAAGCTAAGTGTAGCTAAGGAAGAGTTATTTATTTATTTTTTACTTCCACACAAAACACGTGTATTCATTTGATGAGAAAACGAACTGTGCAAATGGTGAGTACCAATTAATCAATACACATGCGCACTCGTATGATTCATCAAGTGATTTTTTTAGTGCACGGCCAATCATAATATATGATGTATATATAGACTAAAAATGATAGCACTACTCACGAAATCACCCGCTGTGTCTAAAATGTGTAGATTCATACTTTGGTCTTCTACTTTCGTACTCTGTGTGTATACCGACTCTGTGAAAAAAAAATGCACAGATAGAAATAGTTATGTTGGAGAGAGAAGAATACTGGTAGATGGGCAGATACATCCCAACCACCCAACCACAACCCCCACCCACCCACAACCCCCAACCACCCACACACACAACAAACTGTGTATTGTAGTGAGGACATGGCCCCTAAACCTCCATATACTCTGAGCATGGAGCTCCATGACACTGAGGTGTGTCTCGTATATAAGTGTTCGTTACTACGTTTCTAGAGGGTGGATACTCACTCGCTGGAAGAGCGGCAACATCCGTTTGTTGAACTACCCCTACCCATTCGGCATCTCGTCATGCCGATGACATTGTTTACTCCCACATATCCTGAAATGCACGCTCCTCGAGTCGTTATTAAGCCAGAACTATATGAAAGCATTCCAGTACATGACCCGTCATTACCTCCACGTACTCGCAATGGATTATATACAAAACATCCACAAATATTATGCTATATATATTTATAACGGCAATTCAAGTAATACATCGCCCTGCGTGTCACAGCCTAGCCTTGCCAGATCTCGCAGAGTGTTTTGGGAATCAGCTTTTGATGGTATCCGGAAAGTACAGACGTGAGGTCAAAAAAAGAAGTCCAAGTATATCTGCAAACTTGCCAACTTTTCAAAAACCGAAGGAAGTTGATATTTAATCGTGCTATTTCAGCATTTATTTCCATAAAAATAGTATAAAAACATTTTGTCAATAAAAATACATTAAAATAATATCAATTTGTTACTCTCAACGCAACAAAGACATCCCCCTTCTCTTTAAAAATATTTAAAAAATTCACAATTCAAACTTAAGGGAAAGAATTTGATCCGCTGAATAATAGTTGAATGTTTTCAAATAACGTCTTTGGGTACTGTTCTCGTTAATTGGGTGACTGGAATCAATTGCCATATATGGTATTTTAAATAGTTATGAAAATGAAGGGAATGCCTTTGTTGCACTGAGAGTAATACCTTAGACATGTACGAGTACTATTGCGTATAATTAGGCCTTGTATTTTTTCTTTGGTAACTAAGTCTTTGGTAAACAACCACTAAACTGACAGCTTCTCCCAGCTCAAATACCACCAAAAATACATGATACATAAATTTCCACTGGTCAAATAAATCGAACGACGGGTTTCTTGACCAATCAAATTCTCATTCTTTCGGGGTGACTTCTGCGCTTGGCGAAGGCGACATTGTCTATTTACCCAGAGATTGTGGTGGTGCCGCATTTCACTCATATCGCAACATTACGTTTATACGTTTCACGGCAAATTCTCCACTTCGGATTATTTTGTATGCAGGATGTAAATGGCGCCAAAATATGTCCAAATATGCCACGGTGGCACAAACATTATCCGGGAGACTTGGCAGGCACATGTAAGAGTCACGTGAGGTCACATCATGTCAATAATCACTGTATACAACGAGCCACCTCGTAAGTGGGTCATCGAAATCACGAATAATTGCACAGAATGCAACGTAAACACGTGTTCGTCGACTTCTCACAGCCCGGCATGATTGTAGAATCAGAAAATACAATGGACGCTATTGTTTGGTGTCACTGGAGGGATGTGCTAATTGGAATGCCGGGGATTGAAAACTTAAATAACAATACAATATTCGTCCATCTCGGGGATCGGTCGTCGGTTTGTATAAGGTTTGACCTGGACGCGACTTGCACTAATTACCGCCGGTGACTCCTTCGATACCTTCCAATCACCTGAACAAATACCTGATTAAAGCTTGGTAACGTCTCAGTTTGTACTCGTTGATCTTCGCAACAATCAAAGTCGCCATCTTTGTTTATATGAGACCCATGTATCTCGCGCATGCGTGGCGCGACGACTTTCACCTTTTAAATACTATAAATTTTGGCGGGTGTCCAGATCCGTAATTTGTTTATTTGCTCGTCGTTGATCTGTTTGATTTGTATAGATCTGTGCAGGAATCTAGGATACGGTTAAAAGAAGGAGTCGTAACCTGCGCATGCGGCAGACGGTCATAGCGTGTCGTTGTTCACAAATAAGCGTTGTTATTGTCGATGATGAGTAGTATGTTATTGTTTCAGGTAGCCAGTAATTCTTCGAGTAAAATATCTTATGAAAAATAAATGGGTGCAAAACATATCATTTTTTTAGTTGCTATCGCACCTCCGGTACAAAGCAGAATACATCATACACTCACTAGTTACATCATACGCTAATTAATTGCATCATACAAACCCTCTTATTGGCCGCTGAATCCTGTAATCGAATTAAGAGTTTAGAGGGGTTCCTAAAATAAGGTAAACATACCTTGACCTATCACATCATTTTAGAATGTGGTTGTTGATCACTTAAATCAGTGAGAGAGTTATGCATATTTTATAACGCGAGAATGCAACTTTATTATAATTAGCCAATGACAAAGTTGTGTGTTTGAAAAAAACATCGATTTCAAAATACCGAAACAATAATTATATGTAGAAACAATTGTTATTAGTTGTAAGGTTAAAAACGTGGGTTTATGATTTGGGACACGGTGAGCGAATACATGGAGTTAAAGGGCGATGGCACAGCGTGTGTTCGAATTTCAAACGATGTTTTTACACGCGCTGTGTACGTCGCTATGAATCCCATATCGAACATGATGCGACGCGACACCGCCGCACTTTAAACCACTTCACGCCTTTTGACGACACAATTATCTATCCGTCCTTCGAATAACTGTGATTATAGAATAATTTATAATATCTAGTTCAGAGTTAAATTTAAAAAATGCCACATAACCCCAAACATCTAGCCCCTTGGGCTGTCTTACCTGTCATGTTTAACAACATTTATTTACTAACAAGCAGCCTCTCGGCTGAGATAGCTCCGCTGTTAGCAATGCACATTTCAATTAAAGAACAGAAGATATCATTAGAAAATGAACAATATGCATAGTATCAATGCAATAGGACTTGCTGTTTTCAACAAGAATTCAAAAATATAATGTTTCACCATAAATGATTGTGGTTTTTAACAAGAAGACAATATATCACTTTTTACCAAAAATAACAAAAATATTCACCAAAATTAGAGAATTGAAGATATGATCATGAAATGAACAAATCTGAGAGAGGTCTACCCAAGGTACATATACACCAAGTATCAGAGCATTCAGTCTTGTAGTTTTCAAGTAGAAGTCGAAAAAGTAAAACATTGAAACGGACGACGGACGCCGGAGGACGGACGACGACGGACGACGACAGACGACGACGGACAACAAAGTTGACAGCGGAGCTAAAAAGTGCATGGCTGCAACTACAGTTTTGATTGGTAAGGCGACTTTTCTATAAATTAATGAGTAAATAAACGAAACAAAAACCGTTGATATGGTTGTTACATTGATGGTTGCTACAAGGGTTATAACTGGCCAACATCTTTTTTAGAATACCCCCACCCCACCCACACCGGCTGCGTGTCTGATATCATACGATTCAATAGTTGTTTGTACTGTAATATTTATTTTTAAACAACATTTCAAAGAATACATTTAGTACTATATATCACTTTAATAACTGTTTTTTCGCTGCTCAGCACACTGTCTTCACATTGAAGTAAGTAGAGGAGCAATCGAAAGAAACCAAAGTATATGTCAACTTTGTGAAACAAACCAAATAGAAGATGAGTACCACTTCCTGTTAGTCTGCCCTTTTTATAATGAATTTCGTGATAGATATCTACCCCGTTACTTCTATGATTTACCGTCTTTCAACAAATTTATTCTTTTAATGAAATCACGTGACGATGCCGGTCATTTTGAAACACCTTGGTGAATATGTATTTCATACAATAAATTATAGGTACAAAATTTCAGATTTATTGTAATATTTACTGTACAAACGCACAAATGTTCTTTGTTTTGTAATCACTTTATGGGCCGAAAGCCTTTAATATTTGTGAATAAAGACCATATATAGATAAAGCCCACAATTAACAAATTAGAGCCCCCACCCGTGCAGGTATAAGCAAAAATACTCTGTAAGTGGAAGTGCGCACACAATACAAACTCTTGAGTAATGGCAAATTGTTATGCTCTGAAGTGGTAGCTGGGAGCGGATTGGAATGCCACAGGTTGTTTGTAAGGTGGATAATAATAAACTCCGTAATCCCATAACATACTTGCTAAGTGGATCAGGCCATTAAAGATAATGAGAACAGTTCAACTATAGGTCAGTTCTCGTGGATCACGTGATGTGCACAGAGAGTTTCTGTCGTACTGGATCAGCAGCTTCTTTTCTGATTAGAGCCCGGAGATAAGAAATAGGGGACAACTAGTCCGAAGATAAACTGTGTCAGCCACTGAGGTCAGCTCTCAGAGATGAGATTCAATATTCCGTCGTCGGGAAACTTCGTGATAATTGAAAACCCCGCATTTACCGTAACTGGGCAAATATGGCCCAAAGGAAACAGATAAATGAAATCAGCCAGTTTAAATTCGGAATTAGAGTATATTCATCCTTGAGACAAATACAAATGTAATCGACGTGATCTGGTAATATAACTCACGAAGTAACGTCATTGTTGAGTTGATTAAGGAGAATATATATGATTAGAGTTGAATTACTTCCAGTTACGTTTATATATATCAAACGAGTCGCTTTCCTTGTTTATGGTGCGTCGTTGTTCATTACTCCGATATGACGTCACTTTATTAGTACCAGTGCTAAATAATTACCTTCAGATGAGCAAACCAAATTACATTACACAATTATTAACTGGATCTGAGGGATATGTGAATATGTTTCTATTCGATGTGACCATTATTCACCGAGGCGCATCCAAGGTGAATAATTGTCACAACCGGGAAACAAATCTTCATATACCCCGAAGCTTACAGCTAATAAATAGTTCTTTTGTCATTTCGAATTCGGAGTTTACTTGTCAAAATCGTGTGCTGATTTGAATGGCCGTTGTTTCAGTGGCAAGCAAACAACCTGGTACGATCTACTCGGACAACAGTACTGTACAGGGAGATATTTCTTCTATTTGCAACTCGTTTATTGACCAGAATATTTTGAATGTCAAATAGTCATCTTACCGACACCGCTGTCCTCTTGACTACGGCTTGAAACTAAATAATAGGACTCTAAATAATAGTTTCAAGCCATATTCCAGCAGGCTGTTATATATAATAAATATCGGTAAATTAATCGAATTCATGTTATTATCACTTGTACGTCAGCTGGGAGATGCGGAATTGTTAGAGTTACGAACATCGAGTTACGAACATCGAGTTACGAAAACATTGAGTTACAAAAATGACCACGCCCATATTTTAAAACCACGTCCACTTTTAAGAAACCACGCCCAAATTGTAACTAGATTAACAGTTAACAGAACTTCGAGTTATGGGCAACCTATAGTTTTATTGTTGTTGAACGTCCACGTTCAGTAACTCAAACTTAAATTAAGAGTTAACAGAATTGTTTTTATTTTCATTGACGGTTTACGTATGTTTCACGCAACCACAGGGTCTATGAAGTAAATTGAGGTTCAGTTAACCGTTAATTAAAGTTCGATTTACTAAATTTAAATGTTAAAGTACGGTAGTCGTCGCGCCACGCATGCGCGAAATATATGGGTCTCATATAAACAAAGATGGCGACTTTGACTGTTGCGAAGATCAATGAGTACAAACTGAGACGTTACCAAGCTTTAATTAAGTATTTTAGGTGATTTGAAGGTATCGAAGGAGTCACCGGCGGTAATTAGTGCAAGTTGCGCCCAGGTCAAACCTCATACTTGTGATTTCCATTAGAAAAGCGCATTGGATTGTGGGTAAAGCAGTGTTTATCAACACAAATGTCGCACATGCGCAGCGCGACGACTGCTGCACTTTAACCAAAACGACAAATTTATGTTTGCTGTAACTCGAAGTTGGGTTAATTGTTCATTGAATATCGTATTACGGATTGGGCGTGGTTTCTCAAAAGTGGCGCGATCATTTTTGTAACTCGATGTTTTTGTAACTCGATGTTCGTAACTCAAACAACTCAACATCTCGTCAGCTGGATGTGCTTAAATGTTATTCAGAGTCACTTCACGCAGCGGCAACACACTAGTTGTGCGCGGCGTCATTTGAAATCCCGCTCAACTCACGCGTGAAATAATAACTCGACGCCCGCAGTTCGACTGTTCATGGTTACGTCAGTACTATTTTTAGTAAATCAATAAACTGCTTGGTTGCGTTCGCTCGTCAGACATTGCCTGTTATATATTATTTTGTCTACCGTTAAAACGGATTAGATTTTAGAAGCTGATTTACTACTGTTTTACACGGGAGAAAATAAGGTCTGAATAAATATAGCGAATATTTTACAAAACCAAGACAACATGATTCATAGTGTGTTTGTTTTCATCATAACGAACACAGGAAGAGTGTGACAGAAATATATATATCCCGAGAGTTTAACTTTGAATGGCGTTTCAAGTTACGTTACTTTGAGCAATGGCGACGCTTGAAGCGGGAGAGTCGTCACCTGCGCATGCGTCAGATGGCCATAGCGTGTCATTTTTTTTTTACAAACAAGCGTCTACCCATGAGCCTTAGCGTGTGTTTTTATCGTCGCTTCGGACTCAATTCCCGCGCGTGCGCAGGTGACGACCCTCCCTCTTAAAACTAAACTGTGCGCAGTGTAATCCCGCCCAACTCACGCAGTTCACGTGCATTGACAATCTACGGTTACGTCAGTTCTATTTTTAGTTAATCAATAAGTTGCTCAACTTGCCAGAAATTGGCTGCTACGTACAATGTATGTTGAACATCACTTTATTTCGTTCGTGTTACTTCATTTAGCGACAAAGAGTATGCAAATGAAGTTTAATCTACAACGACATCATGCCCGGTTCAGGAACTGATAAAATGCAAAATTGCCCGGATGTCATGTGTTCAGTGACCCTTTCAGAAACCGGAACACACATAGTGTCACACGGGATTTGGCAATCGAGAATTAGTGACCCGAGAATGGATAGCACTTATCAGAATAATGAAGACTTCGCTATCATGGTCAAATCATACAGCATGTCGGGAATATTTGTAATCAAACATTTTAAATTGGAAATGTGAATTTGCGCTTCGTTTAATTAACTTGTATAAATTGGGCAACAACAATCTAAAAAATCTAAGGTCAAGGCTATCAACCTTGAAATTCTGAAAGAGAGACGAAAAAATAGTCATATACAGATTGTAATGCACACAAGTCACGTGGATGTAGTGATGTGATAAAGTGAATGCAGTGATGAAGTTCAATATAATACATGCTCTCTAGCGACGAACTGCATCTGTGACGTCAAATGACAGAGATGAGTGTGAGCTGTACCGTTCTGGTGGACAATTCTGTTTGAATGTGTAGGCATTTCAATGTTAATCAAAATACTTTACCATACCTATATTTTTGTTGACCGTCGACAACAGATTTAAAAAAAAAAAACGTAGACGCTATGAAAAGCATTCATTTGCGTCACAAAAACGGTTGTCGTTAGATGGCACGATTCATAGCAGCTGTATCTGGTGGCGATTAATCAGCAGTTGTGTTATTTTGTTTTTAGTTTTAGATTTAAAACATGATTATTCCTTGAACTATACTATGTCGTCTTCAATACATTTCTATTGAACAAAATGTCTTCTATCTTGTAAACACGTACAATAGTGAAATAATAAAACTTGACGTGACCTTGTACATCACAAATATTCGTAGCCACAAGTTTAGATGTGTAATTAGTCAAATAGTAAAGATGCTCCTGGGTACAGTCACCAATTTAGCTTGGTTGGTTGAGTAGT